GTTAGGGTTAGGGTTGTTAGGGTTAGGTTAGGTTTAGGGTTAGGGCTCGTGCTAGGGTTAGGGATATGGCTAGGTTAGGGTTAGGGTTAGGTTAGGCCTAGGGCTAGAGTTAGGTTAGGGCTAGTGCTAGGGTTAGGGTTAGGGTTATGGCTAGGTTTAGTGTTAGGGCTAGCTTTAGATTAGGGTTAGGACTACGGTTAGGATTAGGGCTAGGGTTGTGTTTAGGGTAGAGTTATTGTTAGGGTTAAGGCTAGTGTTAGGATTAGCGTTAGGGTTAGGTCTAGGTTTTGGTTAGGGCAAGGGATAGGGTTCGGGTTAGGGTTAGGTTTAGGGCTAGGGTTAGGAGTAGTGTCGGTTCTTAGGCTAAGTTAGCCTAGGGCTAGGGTTAGGGTTTGGGTTAGGGCTAGGGGTTAGGGTTACAGCTGGGGTTAGGGTTAGCGCTAGCTTCGGGGTTTGGGTTAGTGCTAGAGTTAGGCTTAGGGCTAGGGTTAGGGTCAGGGTTAAGGTTAGGGCTAGGGTTAGGGTTAGGGTTTGGGCTAGGCTTAGGATTAGTTTTAGGCCTAAGGCTAGGTCTAGGCCTACGGTTAGGGTTAGGGTTTCTGCTGTGCTCCTGAACTGTTTCTAAATCACTTTCTTGATTTTCTGGATTGACCCAATAAGCTGTGTTGATATGTTTTATTCTCAAGTTTCACAGGAAAGTCACTTTTCTCCCATGATTATATTCCGTTATTTGCTTTTGGTGACCGTTTATTTTTTGATGGTTACGAAAGCAAATAATCACTGTAGTCAGAATAGAAAATGATAAAATAAAAGTTACTCATAATCCCACCACCCCAAGGCAGCTACTTTTAGCATTTTGATGTACATCCTCTGAACTTTTCACTGAGCGCGTGTGTATGTACGTGGGGGGGTGTGTTCATCTTTATTTTTCATTCAATTTTTTAAAGAAATTTGAGAAATGTTTTTGTAAATGACTTAAAAAGATTTGTAATTTATTTAATCAGACGCCTTTTTCGACATGAGATTATGCACGTGGTGGTTTATTTTCCGCATCTCGTGTGCTGATGAGGATGACGACACGTTACGTCATGGTGTGACCACATCCAAAACTGTGATGACATCTCAAGCAGCGCTGACCCCAGGAGAAAATGGCCACTCATTTGGGGGCTGCTCCTCTGTGTGCCTTAGGCGTGGGCGTCCCAGGGGTTCTGTCCTGAGCCAGCCAACGCCCTCCAACCAGGTAGCTTTTGCAGCACTTCTCAGAAACGTGCCTTTCTCCACCCCTACTTGTTCATACTCTTATTTCAACAGAAGATCTTCCCACCCGTGGAAGGCAGGCAGCAGTGGCCTTGGCAGGTGGGCGCGGGGCGGAGCTGGGTGGAGAGTCGGGAGCTCAGGGTCTCTGGGCTGCCTCTGACGCTGAGGTGCTCTGTGATCTTGGGCAACCCTCCGGGGCCCTCATTTCCTCATTTGCAGAAATGGAGTCCTGCGTTTCCTGTGGACATTTGCTTCTGTAACCAGGGAGGTTTTGAGAGTCTGGTAGCCAATTGGACATAAAAGGGCTTTGAGAAATTAGGACCGCGGCACTAAGGAAGCCACCGATCCTTCACTCCTTCGTTCATGCGCGGCAGTCGAGCGCTGTGTGTGTCGCGCGCTCTGTGCCCTTTGTTCCTTTGGGTCCCCCCTTGCCGCAGATCATAATTACATTTTCATTTTTGTGATTATCTATAAACTGGAACACTCCGAGCACACCTGTTCAGCTTACAGATGCACCCTGGCATTTGGACCGGAGTCCTGACCCGTGGAGTGAAGTCACCAATCACCCTCCCGCTCTGCAGGCGGTGGCAGTGAGTGGCAGGTGCTGCTCTCGGCAGGGGTGCTCTCCAGGAAGGGAGGGCCGCTGCACCTGCCGCTCATGCTTCTATTAGGCAGAGGTGGGACCTGCCTGCGGGGGCTCGGAAAGAGTACACTGGGAATTCTGGGGAGAGAGCTGGTGGGCTCTGTCCGGGACGCTGGGAGGCTCGAAGATCAGGAGGCACCCCACTGGCCCCAAGGCCTGATGAGAGGTTGGTGCCTCAGTGGCAGTGCTGTGGCCTGCAGAAGAGCATGGGCCTGGCCCACGTGGGGGGCCGAGAGAAGTTCCTTTGACCACCACGTACCAGTAACAGAAGGAGAGAGGCTCGGGTGGACATGTCTTCCTGGTGAAGGGCCCAGAATGCCCCCCTCTCAGCCAGTGAGTCGACGGCTGTCAAGGATGTTGGGGCAAGTGACTTCCTTAGGGTGACGTATGGGTCGTGCTTGTGAAGAGCATGCGTAGGTTTTTGTGGGGAGATGGGTTAGAGGTCATCAGGGTCGTGGTGAAGGTAGTGTCCATGGACTGGAGCAGAGGGGACAGCTGTGGGGCAGACTTGGGGACAGGCAGATTGGATGTGGGGTCAAGATGGCCGGGGCCAGAGGAAGGCTTAGTTTCTGGCAGAAGCATCGTGGGGGTGGGCAGATGGGGAGAGGTGGGAGTGGAAGAAATGACCAGAAAAGGCTGGCTGAGTATGGGGTGCTTGTCCCTCCCCCGGGAGGGTTAGAGATTGGTCTGAAGGCTCAGGGAGAGGTCTGGGCTGAGAGAGAGGTTGGGAGTTGTTTGCTTATCTGAGATAAGCAAAATCAAGGGTGGGGATGAGGCTCCCCGGATGTGGCAGTTACCTGCTGCCGTGTGACAAAGCACGACACTTAGTGGCTTGTTTAAAGCCAGCGGTTCCATTTGATCCCGAGTCTGCAAGTTGGGCAGGGCTCTGTGGGGACAGCTGTGTCTGCCCTGGCAGCAATTGCAGGTGGCTTGTTGGGTGTGGGGCCCAGCCCAGGACAGGTCACTCTTGTGCCTGACAAGATGCTGCTGGCTGTTGCCTCGGACCTCAGCTGGGCTCTTGGCCAGACCACTGACACACGGCCTGTCCATGTGACTGCTTGTTTCTCCCCACAGCAAGGAGGCTGGGTTTCCAGCCCAAGCACCCCAAGAGATAGGATGGGGAAGCTGCCAGTTCTTAAGATCCAGGCCCAGAAACTGCCTGGCACAGTGTCTCCCCCTCCCTTCTGTGTGCTACTCGCCAGGCTGCTGGTCACAAAGCGCAAGGCAGGGACAGTAACCCCAGCTGTAAATGCAAAGAGTGCCAGGGAAGTTCAGGGCCCGTGGTGCCCAGCGCCCGTTAGGGACTTAAAGATGCCCGTTGAATGAGTGAGTAAATGAAAGGTGTGAGCAGAGAGGCACTGAGAGGAATTTGGGGGGCTTGAGGGGAACAGTCATCGGAGAAATTTGTCTGGAGTTGGTGAGGAGGAGCCATGGTCTTGGGGAGGCCGGTAGGATCTAGACGAGTGCGAACTGTGGACCCCAGGCTGAGACTTGGACTGGAGTGTGGGCAGACGGTCCAGTGGTGCCTGAGGGGGCGATGCTTTAGGAATGGGAGCAGAAGTGAGCCCCAGACCAGGAGGACACCCCTGCAGCCGGATCCTCCATCCCTGCGTCACCGGCCCTCCCCTCAGGGCTCCCCTCGGGCCTAGACATTGTCTCCCTGGCAGCTGTGGAATCTGCAGGAGACACACCCGACAGTAGAACCCAAGAACAGAACCCGGGAGCCAGAGGGGCTTCCCAGCTGCTCTCCTCTGGGTCAGGGTGGTCAGCAGGGCTGGTCTGACCTCCTAGCAGAAGAAAGTGAGGGGGCTTTGAAAGCACATTTACAAGCCTTCTGGCCCTTCCCGGGAGAACAGGGCTGCATTTCTTCTGTGAGCACAGCCTTTTCCTGCAGCCACGAGCCCCTGGACACTGGAGTCGAGGTGACCACAGAGTGCGGCTTCCTTCTTGGGGGCCTGCAGACTACTGACCTTGAGAGCTACAACTCCCTGGGGCCTGTAGAGCTGGCCCAAGGAGGCGGGTCCTTTGTGCTGAGAGCTCTCTGGGCCCTGCTCTGCCAAGAGAGGAGCAGCCCAGGACACACGTGCAGGAAGAGGGGCAGACTCCTGCGTGGGCGCTTGCCAGGGCCAGCTCCACGTGCGCGTCAGCTCTCTGTCCAGCCCGAGCCAGCGTGGGCCAGACTGCTGGACGCTGTCAAGGTCGGTGCCGGGGGACAGCGAGCCTCTGTGGGAGGCCGGCAGAGGGAGGTCCTGGTGGACAGGCGGCCACTGTGTGAGGAGAGCCTGACCTTCGGGGAGTGGACAGCAGGGGCTGGCAGAGTCTCCAGAAGGAGGCCCCGAGTCACCTGGCCCTCGGCTTGAGGGCTGTTGGGGAGCCCTCCGCAGGCACAGGGCACAGCAGCTGGGAAGGCCCCGTCTGCGTGGACTTCATCGGAAGAGTGTCCTGGCGTGGGCCAGGGACAGGCTAGAACTGCTGGCTCCTGGAATGTGGCCCACGGCCTGACCATGGTGGTCACCCAGCTGAACCTGGAGTTTCGCTTTCAGGGCAAGAAGCTGCGAGGCTTCAGCTGCGAGCTCATCCGGTCCCCGCATGGCATCTTCCCAGAGTCTTTCTTCACCATCATGTGCCAGGTCGCGGTGCCCTTGCTGCTGTCTGGCTTGGGCATGCTGACGGCCGGCCTGGTGATGAATACCGTCCAGGTGAGTACTGGGCATCTGAGAGGTGGGGGACGGAGACCAGTTCTCCTGGTGCCCCAGGCAGGGCAGGCTGGGGACACGCGGGCCCTCCAGTGGGGGGCAGCCACCCTGAGCCTGGCCTCGCTGCCGAGACCCTGGGGTCAGTGGGGCTGGCAGAAGGGCCCCCTGGGTGCCTCAGCACCGGAAGTTCACAGAGCAGTGAGAATTCTGAAGACCCTTCCCAGAGGTTCTCCTCGCCGGCACAGGGGGCTTAAACTGCCTTCCTCCAGTGCATGTGGGCTCGCTGGGCAGGGTCTGCCGCTCACCAGCTGGCGAGAGTCTCCAGTTGCTTGCTGCCTCCGTTTCCCCATCTGTAAAATGGGGATAACGAAAGCCCGCGCGTCAGAGAGTTGTGAGGGTCAGATGATGGAGTGTGTGTGTTGTTGTGGTCCCCGTGGGGTGACAGGTGCTGCCTGCTCCAGGCAGGGCGTGACAGGCCCACCCTTCCAGAGTCCCATGTGGAAAGACAAGGTCCAGAGCCTGGCATGGGGTCCAGGCCGGCGAGGGGAACGGGGGTCTCCATCAGGGAGAGGCGTTTGCTGAGAGAGGTTCGCTCCTCCCAGTCTGTGTAGCGCCTGGGCTTGGTTCAGGTAATGTGTTTGAATCATTGAGAGCTTTCTGCTGTCTGTCTACTTAAACACTCAAAGAGTCAGTGTTATTTTAGAAAGACTAGAAAATATACATGAAGTGACAGATGAAGGGGGTCGTTATCTCTGTCAACATTTTGCTGTGCCTCTATCAAGACTATTTTCTGCGTACCTATAAATATATGGGATCATACTATGTGATACTGCTTTTAAATTTGTAAATTTAAACACAAATTTAATTTTTCAACCCAGGAGTACATCCCAGATAGCATTTCATGTTCCTAAGTGTACACTACATCCCCGTCCCCTTCCTAGCGGCCGCCAACCTCTCACCTGTCTCCGAGTTGGAAAGGGATGGTCAGTACCCACCAGGCCTCCCAGCCTCCAAGTGTCGGCTCACGGTGCCTCCCTGGCAGCTCCTGCTGGTGCGTCTCAGTGGACAGGACACTTGGCTCTCTCAGGGCTGGGGTGGCCCGTTGCATTCTGGCCACCTCCCCTTAGAAAACTTGTGCTGCTTTGGGATGGTAACACGGATACCCATCTCTCCTCCTGGTAGCGTGGGGGCCTGGGGGCCTGTTAAGAGCTCGTCACCCTTCCCTGAGACCACCCTGCCAACGCTGGGGAGAGAAACCCTACACTGAGCCTTCCCTTTTTGACCTCTGGCCACCCTGCGTGGAGCATGGCTTTGAGCCTGTCCATCCTGTCACTTGTCCCTGACCTGTCCGTAGCCCCTGATAACTGGGACCTCAGGGCCGAGCATAGGAGGACCCCCTCTTCTTCTTAGCACCTCAGTTGCCGTCGCCTAGGAGGGCATTTGTCAGGCAGTCGAGAGGGCTGGGCAGGGAGTGGAGGCCCGAGAAGGAACAGGGAACGTCCATTGTTCCAGGGGGTCAGGGGTCTGTGGAGGAAGTGGGACACTTTGAGTTGAGCCTTAAAGGAAAACGTAGCCCTCTCCAGGATGCCCTAGGAAGCACTAAACATTCCAGGCAAAGGGATGTGCGTGCCAAGACACGGATGAGTGGTAGTATGTGTTTGTGAAGAGTGGGGAATGAGGTGGCTGCTGTCACGGGGACAGGGACTCTGGGCAGGAGTGAGCGGCCCTGTTTGCCCTGCTCGGGGGCCCGTGTTGTGCAGCGAGTGCGGTTCCTCCGTGCACTGCCCGGTCTCAGCCCCTCCTCTGACTTCTGGTACTTGGGATGTTTTGGCTGTTCTTGAGGTATGGTGCTACAAGCAATGTTCTTAGATATGCTCTGGGGGGGCAGAGACTTGCGTGTTGTATATACTCGGGAGTGGAATTGGCAGTGAAGGGTTATGAGTGGCTGAGCGGCATGGTCATGCTTGTGCCACAAAACGTAACCCTGGCAGTGGTGTTAAGGATGACCCAGCGGGTGAGGCTCGAGGCAGTGAGGGAGAGCTGGAGGGCTGTGGGCATCATTCAGAGCCCCCCAAATGCAAGAACCATTATTCCCGTTGAACTTCAGCCTCCTCTGCGACTGGGATATGTGTCTTTAAAGTGTTGCTGGGGAAGGCAGTGGCAGAATTTACAAGAGTTAAGATGACTTGGATGTCAGGTTGGGGACAGAAAGGGGCGGCAGGGAGAGCTCTTGGGGGTGAGGTGCCCGTGGGTACTCAGGGGTTGGTCAGCAGTTGAATGGGCAGGTCTGACCCTTAGAAGAGAAGTCTGCGCCAGAGATACCGTGAGGCCCCAGCACAACCCCGGCGTATCAGTCGCTGTGTTTGCTTTCGGCCACAGAGACCAGGAAACCTAACTCAAAGTGACTTTAAAAACAAGCACACTTACTATCTCTGCAAAGAAGTCTGGAGATAGGACAGCTCCGGAACTGGGTAATTCACCGGATTAGCAGTGTCAGCAGCATTCTTCCACTTTACTATTTGTATGCATTTGCCGGGGTTGCCATGGCAGAATCCCACAGGCTAAGGAGCTTCACGACAGGAATTAATGTTTTTGTAATTCTGGAGGCTGGAAGTCTGAGACGAAGGTGTTGGCAGGCTTGGCTTCTGGAGCCCTGTAGATGCTGTCTTCTCCCTCTGCGTGTGTCCGTGCCCCGAGCTCCTCTTCTTGCGAGGATACCAGTCATACTGGAGTGGATCCACCATCATGACCTCATTTTTTCTTAATTATCTCTTTAAAGAGCCTGTCTACAAGTGCAGTCACATTTTGAAGTATTGGGCATTAATTTGTGCTTCAGCATATGAATTCAGCTGGCCTCTGTTTGTTAACTTTGTCCCAGAATGGTCCCCCTCATGGTCACACGATACCTGGTGTGTCCAGGCATAACTTTGCGATGTCACTGGCCAGATTTGCAGCACAGCCCCACACCTAAGGCAGCCCCACTGGTAAGGAGGATGGGACCCCGGGAGTCACGGCCATCACCCACCCCATCACCCCCTCGAGGCCTCTAGTTGAAAGACGGTACGTGGGGAAGGCAGGGGTGCGGTGGAAGGTGAGGCAGCCGTGGAAGGGAGAGGGCGCGGAAACAGGAGTCCTGGAGTGGAGGCACGAAGGAAAGTCAGTGTTACGAGGTCTGGAAGGAAGAGGGGCCCACAGCGGAGGCCACACTGGATACCGTCGGGACCAGGGGGCAGCATCGCAGAGGCCAGAGGGGGCGTCCAGGGCTATGCCTGTCTCAGCAGGTGCTTCCTGTATACTGGTGGGGAAGACAGCGTCACCTGGCAGAGACAGCAGTTGGGATCTGCCCACTGGGACCCACTCCCTCCTCCCGGGAGAGTTACGCGGCTGGAGGGCGGCAGCCCCGCCAGGGCAGTGCTGAGTGTGTGGAGGACTCATTCAGAAGGGGGTGGCTTTGGGAAGAGAGGGGAAGGCAGGCTTCAGGGAAGGACAGGCTGAGAGGAGTCTGTTACTACTTAGGGGTTGGTACCTGCTGGGACTCGTATGTGGGCAGAGAGTACCTGCAAATGTGTGGCCCTGGAGGAGGTGGGTGCTGGCGTGGGGCGCGGCAACCAAGGGCCGCCGTGGGAGTGAGCGTGGAGGCGGGCGTGGGCGTGGTGACTGCGGGCTGGCCGTGGGGGTACGAGCGTGGAGGTCTCGCGTTCCTGCGAGCACAGGCCAGACGCAACCCGGAGGAGTGCTGGAGAGCTATACTCCTTGCCCGGGATGTTTTCTTTTGGAGTTTTAGGACGGGGCGGACTCAGAACTCCCGTCAGAGCTGGGACAGGACTCTGTATTTCACAGCTTGGTATAGAAGGTCAAGGGAGAAACCAAGCAGGGAGGGAGCTGTGAAGAGTGGGTTGTCTTCCCTGACGCAAGAGCAGGAAGGAGCCTGAAGGGGCCCCGGCCCCAGTCCCTCTACCTCCGTGCCTGGTGAGCCCTGTTGTGGGGCTGCTTGTGGGAGCCTTGCCTGGGCGCAGGGGCCGAGTAGATTCGCGCACCTTCGTGCAGCTCTCCTCTTGTGGGAGGGGGTGGAGACGAGACCCCAGGCCTTCTGTCTCCTTGCTGACAAAGCAGGGATTTGCTTTTAGGTCTAGAATTCCGACACCAAGGAGGAGCTGCTAGTGTAGGGGTCACAGGTTTCTATCATGGTCAGGCAGGCAAAATAAATCAGTACGATTAGATGGGATATTAGAAATAGATTTTGGGAAACAGTCTAATTGCATGTTAAGCCAGTAAGAATCATTTGCGTCTCCACAAATAAATGCTTTCTTTTCTGCTTTTCTTGAAGCATGAATCCCTTTGTCTAATTATTTATTTACTTTTTTACATTTAATATGAAGATGGTATTAAAAACATTTCACAGTTTCATCATTCTTTTGTGTTTAGTTTAAAGCCATTTAAGAAACTACTTAGCTTTGTTCATTTTACAGACAATGAAAAGTAGCTTGCTCAAGAAATTTCCAGAGATGTGCTGATACGTGTGTTTGCGTTTATCTCCCTGCTCTCTCCCTGCCAGCACTGGCCCGTGTTTCTGGGAGTTAAAGACCTTTTGACGTTGGTGCCACCTCTGGTGGGCCTGAAGGGGAACCTGGAGATGACGCTGGCATCGAGGCTCTCCACTGCTGTAAGTGGAGTCCTGGGCCCCTTGGGGCGTGCAGGCGCTGGGTCGGAGTCTCTGAAGAGATGGGTGCTGTTGGGTTTTGGTCTCTCACGATGCTGTCCCTGGTCCCTCCCTGGCCCGGCCTCTGGAGTTCCCAGGGCCAGGCTGTGCTGCTGCTGAGGGGCATGTCCAGCCCCTGGTGCTCCCTTCCTCCTTTCACCTGCATGTCAGTTGGTGGCATGCGTCCCTGTGACACCTCCCCGCCCCGAGTCTGCGTGCCGCCATGCTCATCCCACAGCTACCTGGACCCCAAGCCTGGCCTTTTCACACAGGCACACAGAAGCCCCAGTGAGCAGCACAGGCCTGATGGAGGACTCTGCAGAGGAGACAGGAAGGGTTTAAATCACCCAAGTGAACGACCTCTCTTGGTAGCTTCTGTTCTCCAGAATGGCTCCCTGAATACCTGGTCCCTGGAGGGTCTTCTCTGGGCTCTTTACATAGCACAGCCCCCAGCTTTGCTGTCTCTTCTCACCCCTTCCAGCAATCCCAGGGGATTGGAGCCCTTTTCCCTCTGTTACACAGAATGGTTTTTACCTATCTCTGATACATCCTGTAGGTGAAAAAGACTATGGCAGGAGGAGTATGGTGTTTTCGAGGAACTAAGAGTAGCATGGCCAAAGCACAGGAGTCGAGGGGGCAGGTAGGGGCTGTGGGGCGTAAGGCTGAAGAGACAGGTGGGGTGTGAGTGGTTGAACAGTGGCCCCCCGAGAGACACCCAGGTCCTGATCCCTGGAACCTGTGGATGTGACCTTACATGGAAAAGGGGTCTTTTCAGGTGTGATTAAGTTAAGGACTTTGGGATGGGAGATTGTCCTGGTTATCCAGGTGGGCCCAGTGGAACCACAGGGGGCTGGGAAAGGGAGGGCCTGGGAAAAGGAGGCAGAGGGGAGTTTCAGGCCAAAGAGAGAAAGACCATGTGATGGAAGCAGAGTCAGAGAAGGCGCTGTGCCCCTGGCTTTGAAGATGCAGGAAGGGCCCCTGAGCCAAGGGATGCAGGACATGCAGCTCTACATGCTGGAACAGACAAGGAAATAGCTTCTCGCCCGGAGCTTCCAGATGAGCAAGTTTCTGCCAGCACCTTGATTTTATCCCCGTAACACTCATTTCAGACTCCTGACCTCCAGAACTATAAGGGCATAGATTTCTTTTGTATTAGGCCACTAAGTTTGTTACAGCAGCAAGAAGAAACTCATGGGACATTCTTTAAGATTGACCATATCCTACGCCACAAAGCATGTCTCAACAAATTAAAAAAATAGAAATTATGCCATGCATCTTCTCAGACCACAGTGGAATAAAATTAGAAATCAACTCCAACAGAAACTCTCATCTCTACACAAAGTCATGGAAACCAAACAACCTTCTGCTGAACGATTATTGCGCTAAGGAGGAGATTAAGATGGAAATCAAAAGATTCTTTGAGCTAAATGATAAAAGGAGACACAAGTTATCAAAATCTGTGGGACACAGCTAAAGCAATCCTGAGAGGAAAATTTGTATCCATAAGCGCCTACATCCAAAAGACAGAAAGATCACAAATCAGCAATCTAATGAATCATCTCAAAGAACTGGAAAAGGATGAGCAAACCAACCCCAAACCCAGCAGAAGAAAAGAAATAACAAAGAGCTGAACTAAATGAAATCGATAACAAACAAACAAAAAAAACCTGTAAGGAAGATTAATGAAACAAAAAGTTGGTTCTTTGAAAAATAAAGAAAATTGACACACCTCTTTGCTAGATTAATGAGACACAGAAAAGACTCTAATAAGCTCCATCAGGAACGAAAAAGGAGAAATTACAACTGATACCACAGAAATACAAAATTTCATCTATGAATACAATAAAAACATCTATGCACGTAAACTTGAAAATGTGGAGGAAATGGAAAAATTCTTAGAAACACACAGCCTCCCTAGGCTCAATCAGGAAGAAATAGAATTCCTGAACAGACCAATATCAAGTACTGAAATTGAAGCAGCAATAAAAAACCTTCCTAAAAAGAAAAGTCCTGGACCAAATGGTTTCACACCCGAATTTTACCAGACCTACAAAGAACTGGTGCCTATCCTGCAGAAATTATTCCGCAACATCGAGAAGGAAGGAATCCCCGCCAACACGTTCTATGAAGCCAACATCACCCCGATACCAAAACCAGAAAAGGACGCAACAGAGAAAGAAAACTACAGACCAATATCCCTTACGAATATAGATACAAAAATTCTCAAAAAATCCTAGCAAACTGAATTCAAGTGCTTATCAAAAAAATAATCCATCACGATCAAGTGGGCTTCATCCCAGAGGTGCAGGGATGGTTCAACATACGCAAATCTATAAACGTAATTCACCACGTAAATAGAAGCAAAAACAATAGACGCAGAAAAAGCATTCGTCAAAATTCAGCACCCTTTTATGATAAGAATGCTTAACAAAACAGGCACAAATGGGACTTACCTAAAAATGATAAAAGCCATATATGACAAACCCACAGCCAACATCATACTGAATGGGGAAAAATTGAAAGCATTCCTGCTTAGAACTGGAACCAGACAAGGTTGCCCTCTATCACCGCTTCTGTTCAACATGCTGCTAGAAGTCCTAGCCAGAGCAATCAGCCAAGAGAAGGAAATCAAGGGCATCCAAATGGGGGCAGAAGAGGTCAAACTATCACTCTTTGCTGACAATATGATCTCATATCTAGAAAACCTCAAATATTCTGCCATGAGACTACTGGAATTGATAAGCAAATTCAGCAAAGTCTCAGGTTACAAAATCAATGTACAGAAATCAGTAGCATTCCTATACACCGACAACAAACTGAGAACCAAACCAAAGACCCAATACACGTCACAGTAACAACAAAGAAAATAAAATACCTAGGAATATATTTAACTAAGGAGGTGAAAGACCTCTACAGGGAGAACTACAAAACACCGAGGAAGGAAATAGCAGAGGACGTAAACAGGTGGAAAACCATACCATGCTCATGGGTCGGCAGAATCAGCATTGTTAAAATGTCTGTACTACCCAAAGTGATCTACAGATTCAATGCAATCCCTATTAAAATGCCAACATCATTTTTTGCGGATCTAGAAAAAATAGTTCTATGCTTTGTGTGGAACGAGAGAAGACTCTGTATAGCAAAAGCAATCTTAAACAAAAATAACAAATTGGGAGGCATCAATTTACCAGACTTCAAGCTATACTACAAGGCTGTAGTAACCAAAACAGCATGGTACTGGCACAAGAACAGAGACGTAGACCAATGGAACAGAACTGAGAACCCAGGTAGAAAACCATTAGGCATCTAATGTTTGACAAAGCAGACAAAAACATACACTGGGGAAGAGAATCCTCATTCAATAAATGGTGCTGGGAAAATTGGATAGCCACACGTAGAAGACTGAAACAGGATCCGCACCTCTCACCTCTCACAAAAGTCCACTCACAGTGGATAACAGACTTAAACCTAAGGCATGAACCTATAAGAATTGTAGAAGAAAATGTTGGAAAAACTCTTAAAGACATTGGCCTAGGCAAAGAATTTACGAAGACCGCAAAGTCAATCACAGCAAAAGCAAAAATAAATAAATGGGGCCTGATCAAATTAAAAAGCTTCTGCACAGCCAAGGAAACTATCACGAGAGCAAACAGACAACCTACGGAATGGGAGAAAATATTCGCAGGCTATATATCTGATAAGGGGCTAACTAGAATCTATACAGAACTCAGGAAAATCAGCAAGAAAAAAACCAAACGACCCTGTCAAAAAGTGGGCAAAAGACACGAACAGAAACTCTTCAAAAGAAGATAGACTAATGGCCAAGAAACATATGAAAAAATGCTCGACATCTCTAATCATCAGGGATGTGCAAATCAAAACCACAATGAGATATCACTTAACTCCAGTGAGAATGGCTTTTATCAAAAAGTCCCAAAATACTAAATGTTGGCGTGGATGCAGAGAGATAGGGACACTCATATACTGCTGGTGGGACTGCAAACTAGCACAACCTCTATGGAAAGCAATTTGGTGATACCTCAAAGAGCTACCAGTAGAACTACCATTTGATCCAGCAATCCCATTACTGGGCACGTCCCCAAGGGAAAAAAAGACATTCTATAAAAAGGACATCTGCATTCGAATGTTTATAGCACCACAATTCACAATTGCAAAGATGTGGTAACAACCCGGTGCCCATCAATACACGAGTGGATTAATAAAATGTGGTATATGTATACCATGGAGTTCTACTCAGCCACAAAAAGCAATGGTGATCTGACACCTCTTGTATTTTCCTGGATAGAGCTGGAGCCCATTCTTCTAAGTGAAGTATCACAAGAATGGAAAAACCAGCACCACATGTACTCACCATCAAATTGGTATGAACTGATCAATACTTATGTGCACATACAGTAGTAACACTCATCGGGTGTTGGGCAGGTGGGAGGGGGCGGAGGGGATGGGCATATTCACACCTAATGAGTGTGGTGTGTGCCGTCTGGGGGATGGACACGCTTGAAGCTCTGACTCAGGTGGGGCAAAGGCAATACACGTAAGCTAAACATTTGTACCCCCGTAATATGCTGAAAGAAAAAAAAAAAGAAAAGAAAAGAAACTAACACATGGGGTCAGATCATGTAGAGCCTTGTAGGGCATTGAAATGTTTTAGGCAGCTGGTGATGTGGAGGCACACACATTCCTGTGAGATGCATGCACACGTGCACAGTTATTTTGGTCAGTGTTTGGGAGGGGTAAAAATGTTTATAGTAATCTCTGCTGTGTAGATATTTCAGGTGTTACATTTTTGTTTTCATAATGGTTAATTGTAGTTAAGATATGCACTTATCTACAATGATCATATCTTAGTGTTGTAATTCTTTAAAAATACATAAACCATACGAAAAAGAACTGTTAATATAATTCATTACAGTAGTCTGTCAAAGGAGAGCAGCCGCATTATC